TGATGTACTAACTTGTTTTGGGCGTGAGGTAAACACTGAGAGCAGTAATAGCATCATTTGAGGGATCATGATAGAGTTCAGTTACAAGAAGATCATTATCCTTCATCCGTAAAGGGAACTTCTGCATATCTAAAGAGAAAATTACAGAGCGTTTAAATAAGCACATCCTCTATTTAAAACTGAAAAAGTATTGTTTTCTTGTTCCTATTTTAAGTCATATTAAGAATTCCAAGTAAAAATACACTTACCTATGTAATAGATTGATCCATTGTTACATCCCAGCAGTAGGAATGACCCAGCAGTGTCATAACTTGTTATAGGAACAACATCTTGAACCTAATGTAGTGAGATTGTTGTTAGATAAAAATTATAATGTATATATTCTGCTCAGTTTCCTCAAAATTTTCAAATCTTTTAACAAGGAAAATATCCATTTAACTAGGGTTTAGAAAATAAACTTTCATTATATACAGGTACATGAACATGTGCTCAGCACTCTAAGAAATAATTTTATTACTACTACTACTATTACTTTGGTAGCTCTGGTGGCCTAGTAACAAGAAGCTGTGCTGCAATCCCAAAGGAACATGGTTCAAGGCCACTAGGTGCTTCATGGAAGAAGGGTGGGTAATCCCCTCCCGTATGATTAACTGTCTCTGAAAACCCACCAGAGGGTCTGCTCTGTGTCCATTCTAAATCTATGGTACACAACTACCACTCTGAAAATGAAGCTCTGGTGACCGACTGGTAAGTACGCTGCAATCCCAAAAGCACACAGTTCTGACCCACCAGTTGCTCTGTGGGAGAAGGATAGGCAATCTCGTGTGATTTGGTCCCTCTGAAAACCTGCTGGAGGATGAGCTATGAGTCAGTTCTGACTCAATGGTACACAACAACAACACTGAAAAGATAATGATCTCTATTTTCAATGTCCCTGATCTGGATTTCATTATTACAAAAACAGAACAATCCAAAAGCTTTCATATTTATCTTTGCTTTTCCAGGTATTAAACTAGTATTTCCAAGCACTCAAACTAGTCTATGGAGTAGAAACTACTGATAACTGTGTTTAAAAATAGAACAGCAAAGGGTATGATTTTCACTAACGCCTTTCCCAAAGGTTTGCGCTGTGGCACTGAGATATTCATATTTCCCACTTATAGTAAAGATGTAGGTAAAAATTCATAGATTACATTTAAATGAGATACTAGATGCACATCACAAAGTTTTGCATGCAAAAATAAAAAGAAAATCCTACTGGATTTTTTTTACTAAAAAAAGTAAAAAATGTTAAGTAACTTTTATTTATAATATTTGTTAACATTTAAAAGGTTAACTAAACTCTACTAAATGTTGTTGTTGTTATGTACTGTCGACTCACTTTCGACTCATAGCAACCCAATGTACAACAGCCCTAAACCCTGCTCTATCCTGTGACAATCACACTGTCTCCAATATACCCATCCCGATTACCCCAGAATCAATCCACCTCATAGAGGGTCTTCTCCTCCTGTGCCGTCCCTCCACTCTCCCAAGCATGATGTCCCTCTCCAAGGACCTGGCCCTCCTTACAACATATCCAAAGTATGTCAGATGAAGCCCCAAACTCCTTGCCTCAAAGAAGCAGCCTCTGTACCTACTTAACACAAGAGTACTTATTGTGTAGTTGATGTTATCCATGAGAATATGTATGAGACTGGAGATAAGGGACTTGAAAGATTATTTTTGCTCTTAAGAAGCCTAAGAACTTTTAAGAAAGAAAGATAAAAACAGTTAACACTATAATCAAACAAAAAGAGGTGGAACTCTCCTCTCACTGTGGGAAGAGTTAAATCTCATTTCACTGTGGGAAGAGTTAGTTAGAAGATCAGAGAAGAAATGAAGTCTGAAAAAATAAAATAAGTTACAAAGGGGAAACAGCACAAAAGAACAGCAGCTAAGAATTGAAAATTTATAATCTATATTAATTCCATTTAAAAATAATATAATAATGACCAAAGTTGTTTATGGCTTAGTTCTGTATGTTACTTCCTTTTTTTTTTAAAGTAGTAAGTTTCTCTTTTTTTAATTTTTTTATTATTTTTATGTGCACATGTACCGTCAAATCAGATCTGACTGGTACAGGAGGAGATTGTCCCTCCTTCCCCAGCAGAGTATCTGGTGGGTTCGAACCGTGCGCCTCTGGGATTGTAGTTGCAGTTCCTTGCCACTAGGCCACCAGAGCTCCCCTTATATGTTACTTCTTGCTTTCACGCACAGTTGAATTACAATAATGTTATCTCTGCAAATTGTCAATCATGACATTTCTCTCAGGTCATGCTTTTGTCTCACCAGAACCAACAAGTTGTAGTAAGTGAATACTGGAATTTTTTTCCTTTTTTTTTTTAAAATAAATTTTATTAATTTTAATGAAAATTTACAGAGATTTTTAATTTCCATTCATTCATTGTTGCATTTTTCTCCCTACCCACTCCTCCCCACCAGTTTGCTCTCCTCTTTGAAAAGTAAAAGAAAAATCCTTTCATTGATGATATACAATTTACCTCCTCCCCTCCCCCGAGTACACTCCACTATGCAACCTTCATTCTGGACTCTTGTCATAACCATAATACCCAATCATATATCATTTTTAAACTGTTCTCGTCCTAATCTATTTCAATGCAGCATACAGGACAAATACTGCATAGTGCCACTGTTGTAGAACAAGATATCAGGGTTGGGTGAATACTGGAATTTTTTAACAACAAATTTGTCAGGAATAGATAGCAATCCTTTACATTAACTGATTTCACTCCCCAAGTGGTTGCTGCTTGCCACTGAACTGATTCTGACTCATGGTCCTATGCTGTTGTTGTTATGTGCTGTTGAGTCGTTTGCAACTCACAGCGACCCTATGTAGAACAGCCCTAAACTCTGCTCTGTCCTGTGCCAATCTGTCTCTGAAAAACCCATCCCGATTACCCCAGTCACCGAATCAATCCACTTCCTAGAGGGTCTTCCCTTCCTGCGCCTGCCCTCCACCCTCCCAAGCATGATGTCCCTCTCCAAGGACTGGTCTTTCCTTACAACATGACCAAAGTATGTCAGACTAAGCCTCAGAAACCTTGCCTCCAAGGAGCAGCCTGGTTTAACCCTCTCCAGGTTGAAACTGTTTGTTTTCTTAGCAGTCCATGGTACCCTCAATACTCTTCTCCAACATCAAAGCTCAAAGGCATCAATACTCTTTCTATCCTCCCTGGTTATTGTCCAGCTCTCTGATGCACAACAAGTGTTTGCAAAGACCATGGCCTGTATCAGACACGCCTTAGTCTCTAAAGAGACACCATTGCTCTTTTGTACTTTAGAGAGGTCGCTAATAGCAAACTTTCCCATCGCTATGTGTCTTTTAATTTCCTGGCTGCTGGTGCCAAGAGTGTAGATTGTGGAGCCAAGCAGACTAAAGCTGTGAACAATCCCCATCCATCCTGATGCTGACAATTGGTCCAGTGGTGAGAATCTTTGTCTTCTTGACATTGAACCTCAATCCATACTGAAGGCTCCAGTCTCTGACCCTCAGCAGCAAGCACTTCAGGTCATCCTCAGTTTCAGCAAGCAGGGTTGTGTCATCTGCATAACGCAGATTGTTGATAGATCTTCCACCAATCCTGACCCCACATTTCTCTTCATAGAGTCCAGCCTCCCGGATGATCTGTTCTGCATACAGGTTTAAACCGTATGGAGACAGGACACATCCCTGTCGTACGCCCTTCCCAATTTTGAACCATGCAGTGTTTCCTTGCTCTGTTCTGATGACTGGCTCTCGGTCCAAGTATAGGTTTCACATTAGCACGATCAAGTGTTCTGGGATTCCCATTCTTCTCAGAGTCAGCCACAATTCGTTATGATCCACACATAGGATTTTCAAAATTATGACCTTTGAGAGATTATTACCACACCGGTTTTCCCAGGAGCTTCTAGGTGGTTCAAACCATGAACCTTTCTACTAGTTGTGAAACTCTATAACCATTTGTACCATCAATTAGCCCACCCCCAAGTAGACAAGATTTTTTTCCTGTTCAGGGTCCATTTCAACCCCAGAATCTTCAGAGAATGAGAGGGAGAAATGAAGCTATGGGACGCCTCTCCATATTGTGTCCAGTTTTCAGTGAACCACTGACAGCTAATTGAAGCTTTCTTTTCAGTATAGGGAAAAAAAAGTAGAGTAAGTGTAGAGAATGGGGTAGATTACAGAGACACTGGTACTACTGAAAAGGAGCTCTGGTGGCCTATTGTTAAGGAGCTGTGCTGCCAACCTAAAAGCAAGCAGTTCAAATTCACCAGCTGCTCTGAAGTTACTGCCTTGGAAAACCTGCTAGATGGGTCAGTTTTAACCTGATGGTACGTACCAACAAGTACTACTGACCTAGGTAGCTCTGGTGGTGTAATTAGCAGGGTGTTGTGCTGATAACCAAAAGGTCATGTCTCTTTGGAGAGTCAACCACACCAGTGATTATATGGGAGGAAAATGGTTACTATCCCATGTGAAACCTCAGGAAACCCAAAAGAGGGTCGGCTATGTGTTGGTTCCAATTCTACAGCAATGATAGCGTTTTTATTACTGATCTCAAATTCTCATCTTTTAGCATAAGCAAGAAATCAGATTGTATGGTTCCTCACTATTATCCTAACAACTTCATAATAAAATCCAGAGAAACCATACTATTAGTGTTATCTATTATCTAGCTCAGGGATGACAGTCATAAATCTGAGATGCAATTAAAATGTCTGTCTTAAAACAGTACACGGTGACTATTATTAATTTCTACATGCATAACTGATAATTTTTAAACAGTCTAGAATCCTGAGTAATTCAAGGACCCCAGAATCTTTCAACCCAATTTCTTTAACCACATAATCATTTTCACATTTTTTATCCTTGTCTATTTTTTTAACATCATTTCTTTACCCCACCCCATTGGAGATTAACTCATGATGAGGATTCTCGTGTAATTCTAATTACAGATAATCTTCCATTACTCTGGTAACTTCCTGATTGTTATATATCTTCTCTTGTAAAAAATCCTTTTTGGCTTCTTGTCCATATGTAGAATATAAAAAGCCCTGGACCAATTTTTTTAGTTTTTCAAATGTTGGTAAATAGCGACTAGTTTCTCATACCACAAGAGGATACATTTGTACTCCCAATTCTCACTTAAATTTCAATTTAAGTAACTGGTTTTAATTTCTCAAGTACAGCATCACTCCAGTCCCTAACCTCTCCAGTGCTCCTATTCCAAAATACAAACAAATGTCAAGTTATCTTTAGTATTATCAAGTAAAATTTTCCCAGTCTTTTTATGGACTGAGGCAGAAGTTTAAAATTTCCAGGTTTGATTCCCCCCCCCATTTTCATTGCCCTTACTCTTATTAAAACTGTCAACCCTAAAGCCTTGATGTCTGGTACGAATGTATATGTGTACAAATAAATATAATTTAATTCTTAATAATTTATATCGTTTTAACATTTTTATCCAGTACATTTGTGTTATAGAGAAACTTCTGTCAGCTAATTCAGTGCTGTTACTATAAATCCTAAAGAAGCAAATATAACATACCCAGGACAGTGGCCAGCATAATATATATAAATGCTAGTTTCCTCCCCGACTAATTTTGGACACAGATTCCACTGTTCACCCTAAATGTTCTATACCTAAAATGCAAGGGTTCTCAACTCTAGTATAGAAAAATAACAATCAAAAAATCCCCTCAGTACTACAGAAACAGTACTACCAGGAAAAACATTAAATAAAATTAACTTTTTCAATTCTTACATGGCGTACCTAGTCCATAAAAACACAACAATTCCCTCTGAATCCCTCTCCCAGAGACAATATTTTCTCAAGGTCAGGTTGTTCACTTCAAAGCTAGCGTGTGACTTACACTGTACCACTGGCTAAAGCTCTTGAATTCTCTCTCTGGAATGTGCACAGTGTGAGTTCTCTGATTCTTAGTCATTAGAGTATTGAACGAATTGTCAGTACTAATGTACCAAACGACGAAGAACAGGATATCCAGCTCGTGCTCCCAGTTCTGAGAGATTCTAACCATGGAGTTTCTAATCTAAGTCTAAATGTAAGCTTACAACTTGGAAAAAGATGCCAAAAAGTTGCTATTCTGTCATTTAACTAAATCTAAGTGGACTACTTATCTGACAACACTAATTATTTCCTATTAATTTTTCGAGACTTAATTTTGAGGAGGAGATTAATGAAGAATGGAAACAACAAAGATTTCCCAATAAATCTTTGTCTTACCCAAATTATATACAATTTTTTTAAAAAGTTTAATTAACATTTTATTAACAAGGTCTTTAAGAGAAACGGCTATACCAATAAAACCTTCAGGTTTAAATACACATGTACATGCACACACACACTCACACACAATTTTATGACTGACTTGACTCAAATATTGGCAGTAAATTTTCATAAGAACTGCAAGTATTGTTCTGTGTACTTTCTGTGTTATTCATGGACAAAACTGTTGCTAAAGGCCAAATCAGAGCTTACTCAAACAGTGTCACAAGCTGTCCCAGGAGTCAGTCTAGGATCAGAACTGCCTGTTGATTTCCACTTCCACAGATCAGATGCTAGTATTTCACTCTATACTGCTGCTGCACTGTATTACAAGAAATTCACATAGCCTTTTAAGGCTTGTTTGCTCCAAGGACCCTCAACTTCCCAAGGTCTTCCTAAAATGTAGTATGAATCTACTTTGTCAGATACAGGTTTTTAATCCATGCATACACCAAACAGAAAGCATCATGTTACACATGGGACTAAAACTTTAAGAATAAATATCCTCATTGGGGAAGGGGGTGTGAGGGAAATAGGAAAAATCTGCTCCCAAAAACAATACATTCAAATTTTATAAATAAATTAGTATTAAAATAAAAAGAAAGAATAAATATCTCCTTTGAAGAAGCTAATCTATTTCTTAGGATTTCAAAAGGTATTACAACTTTTGTTTGCAATGTTAAAAATGCTAGCAAAGGACAAAGAAGGTAAAAAAAGGCGCAGCATGCTTTTTCAGAAACCAAATTTAGTTTTATAGCACCAACAGTATAGCTTCCCCCAGACACTAAAAACATAAATTTGACATAACTGCCTAATTAAAATGAGAAGAGTTACTATTCAATACTGAAACTTAAGATTATAATTTATACAACCATCACCAATTACAAAAGCCTCTGGTAGCTTAGAGGTAAGAAGCTGCACTGCCAACTCAAACGCAAGCTTTTTGAATCCACCAGCTGCTTCACAGGTGAAAGATGGGCAACATCCTCCCATCAATTTATCGGCTCTAAATACTCGCTGAAGGGTCAGCACTGAGTGGGTCCAACTTGATGGCACACAACAATAATCTAAACTTCAGATCCATCAAAACCAATTTATTACATTCCTGGGGCAATGATTTCCACACTGCCCACTATTAGTCTCTAAAACATGGAACTGGCCATGTCACTCCTCTGCTAAATACTTATAAGTTTTCCTCTATTCTTCAGAATTGGGTATCAAGCTTTCCAAGGACTCTCATCTTTTCCTTCCTCTCAACTTCTCTTGAATTTCTCTTCTCAATTTAATATGTTATCTCTTCTGAGCAAGTCCCACATTTTCAAACAAATCTGTACTTCCATTTAGGAAATGACTACTTTTCTTTCAAGGAAAATAAAACTTTAAAAATATCCAACCAAGGTTTAAAAAAAATCTACTTATTAAAAAAAAATCCTTGAAAGCATAGTCAAGTATGTATTTAGAAACAAATTTACTTCTAAATATATGTAATACTATATAAAATAAAAACAACATGAATTATATGACAAGTAATAGAGTGGGTAAAACACTCAGTTACTGACAGATGGACAGTTCAAACCCACCAGTCACTGACTAGGAGAAAGGTGTGGCAGTCGGCTGTTCTACAGCATTACTACGAGCTGGAATCAACTCAGTAGAGAGTAGTTTAATTAAAACTAACCTGCCAGTGTTGAGTGACAGCATTCCACACTCCTACTTTCCCTGTATGGCTTGTGGCCACCAACTGGTTACCAATGAAGAAGAGAGCATCCACAGGAACACCAAGGCTGAACACTCCTTAAACAAAAAAAGGAAAAGCTTAGTCAGTCACTATTTTATAATTCATTACATTTCAGACTGAAAAATATGTTCAAGTGAGTAATCTTCATGTATTCTGATTCACACAAATTATGTGTGACATAGGGACTAAAAATATAAATAACAAAAGTCTCAAGAATTTTGAAAGCAGGTAATTCTAAGCTTGTCTTGATCTGATGTTGAAGCGGTTTCAGCTGCATCCAGACTAAGATGGGCCAGGAAGAAAACTATCCCACTGTACTTCTGAAAATCAGTCAGTGAAAATTCTGTAGATTATAACAGAACCAATCAAAGAAGGAAATCAGGAATCATTTATTGTGTAGAGAGGTCACCATAAATTGTGGCCAATTTGATGACAGCTACTGATACAACGTAATATATATATAAAATATATATATAATATAATATATATTTTTATGTATATATATATACACATAAAATGAATAAAACTAATCAATGACACAGTGATATATATATACACATATGCATATATATATATACACACACACACACATAAATGAATAAAACTCTAATAGATGACAACTAACAAAATATAGATATGTTGCTTTTCAGCAGAGTACTGCAACAGAAGTCAGGACAATCAGAGTTGAAACGCTGGATATGTGTCTCCCCAGCTCACACACACACTTTTCTAGTTCTTACTTTACTCACCTGTAAAACAGAGTCAAACTTTAATTTCTCAAAGGTCAAGCCTAGCTTTAAATTGTTATAATCTGATTCTGACACTTAAATAGTATTTATTATCTTAGCTCTTTGAAAGACATAAGAAACATCTTTTTAATAATCATGGAAATTAAACTACACCTATGAAATACTGTTAATCTGTTCCAAGGTAATTTTATTAAAAGAATAAAATTAAAAGGATACCTATCATGTGCCAATGTGAAGTTTCCTCAGCATCTTGCTGAGAAAAAAAAAAGACATGAAAAACTGAGGAATTCATGGGGACAAACAAACCAATTAAATGCAATAAAAGATTAAAAGCATAAACCAGAAAGATTACTGGCTTCTAATTTCTTCTATTACATCAGTGATAGGTATGTCTGTTTCTGTTCAGAACTATGTATCACAATAAGAGAAGTAGTCACTGGCCATAGCTCTGGTCGCACAGTCCACAGGTACTTCTGCAGCTGATCCAAAAGTCACACATCTCTGGTAGTTAGAATCTCTGTCCCTTGGACAAAGATGAGCAATCTCCTCTAGTGTAATTTATTGTAACCTTCACTTAATGTAGTTACAGTTACAGCCTTGGGAAAACTGCTGGGGGTCAGCTATGAGTCAGTTTAAACTACATGGCAACAAAGAAGAGAAGGAGGAAAAGGAGTAGGAGCAACAGCACCTCCCTAATATATGTACGTGTGTGTGTGTGTGTGTGTGTGTGTGTGTGTGTGTGTACACACAAAAGACTCCTATGGAATATCTTCAATATATACGTTTTTATTTGCATAAATGTCTAGTTACACAACATAAAAAAGTACCATCAAAACCCAACTTGTCATCAGCCAAAAACCAAAAACACGAAACAATATAAAATCACCCAGAAAGTTAAGAAGCCCTTGACCAGAATTAATTAAGACGCAAACCTATCACCTCAAAGTAGAAAGTAATTTCATATTATGTCCAATTTTGGGAATGCTTTTCTACTAGTCCTATAATTTTGAGATCAAATTCTTTTTCAGACCATGGGAAGTCCATGACATCCTGTACTAAGATAAGCTGTAAGAAAAGCAGAAATAGGGCCACCTTCTCCTGCGCTCTCTGCTCCTCGTCGATCCAGATTGCCCTCTCTTCTTCTGCAGCCTCAGCCGCATCCCTGAGACACGATGGTGAAGGTTGGAGTAAACGGATTTGGCCGTATTGGGCGCCTGGTCACCAGGGCTGCTTTTCACTCTAACAAAGTGGATATTGTCGCCATTAATGATGCCTTCATTGACCTCAACTACATGGTCTATATGTTCCAATATGATTCCACCCATGGCAAGTTCAATGGCACTGTCAAGGCTGAGAATGGGAAGCTGGTCATCAATGGGAAAGTTATCACTATCTTCCAGGAGCGAGATCCCGCCAACATCAAGTGGGGTGATGCTGGTGCTGAGTATGTTGTGGAGTCCACTGGTGTCTTCACAACCTTGGAGAAGGCTGGGGCTCACTTGAAGGGTGGTGCCAAACGGGTAATCATCTCTGCTCCTTCTGCCGATTTCCCCATGTTTGTGATGGGCGTGAACCATGAAAATTATGACAACTCTCTCAAGATTGTCAGCAATGCCTCCTGCACCACCAACTGCTTGGCTCCCCTGGCCAAGGTCATCCATGACAACTTCGGCATTGTAGAGGGACTCATGACCACAGTCCATGCCATCACTGCCACCCAGAAGACTGTGGATGGCCCCTCTGGAAAGCTGTGGCGTGATGGCCGTGAAGCTGCCCAGAACATCATCCCTGCATCTACTGGCGCTGCTAAGGTCATGGGCAAGGTCATCCCTGAACTGAATGGGAAACTTTACCGGCATGGCTTTCCGTGTCCCCGCCCCCAATGTGTCAGTTGTGGACCTGACCTGCCGTCTGGAGAAAGCTGCCAAATATGATGACATCAAGAAAGTAGTAAAGCAGGCATCAGAAGGGCCCCTCAAGGGCATTCTGGGATACACTGAAGACCAGGTTGTCTCCTGTAACTTTAACAGTGACACCCACTCTTCCACCTTCGATGCTGGGGCTGGCATTGCCCTGAACGACCACTTTGTCAAACTCATTTCCTGGTATGACAATGAATTTGGCTACAGCAACTGGGTGGTTGACCTGATGGTTCACATGGCCTCCAAAGAGTAAGATCCCCTTGGACCACCAGCCCCAGCAATAGCACTAGAAGAGAGAGAGAGACCCTCAGCTGCTGGCGAGTCCTTGCCCCAACTTGATCCTCTCACACACTGAGAATCTCACATCCTTGACACAAGTTTCCATCAAATCCCCCTGAGAAAGGGGAGGGGCTTGGCTAGCCCATCCTGTCATGTACCATCAATAAAGTACACTGTACTCAGCCAAATAAAAAAAAAAAAAGAAAAGCAGAAATAACGCAAAAGAGAAAAACTAGTATCAGTTTCTCTAGAAAAGGAAACCAAGGAAAGAAGACACTCTGAACGATCTCACATATCAGTCCAGCTTAGCTCAACAATCTTGACTGCCATCCATAGGGAAATAAGAGTATTACTAATGAGGACAAGTCCCTGTCGTAAGGGGTTATTAGTGGAAAAAAATACTGCTTATAGCAGCAGAGATGGTTAGGATGGCACAGGATAGGACAGGGTTCAAGATCTGTTGTTCATAGGGTTGGTAGGAGTCATACTTAACTTGATGGCACCTAACAACAACTGTATAGTACCAATGGAGGAGGAACACTGTCTTCCATAAGTTGTATCAAAGGGAACCTAGCCTGGGGATGGGGGGTGAACTCTATCATATCTATACCAGCCCCAACAATTTTCTCTGGAGGGTGATGTCGGTGTCTTAAGGGTATACGAAACAATAAATAGTTTCTCTTACAGGGTGTGAACGTATTGTTACTGGATTATTCTATAGCATAATTATCTATGCCACAATGTTGCTATTAGGTGTTATTCAGGTCCCTTTCAAAATGAAGCAAAGCCTAAAGCTACCTTCACTTACTGTAGATACAAGTGGTAATGTAAAATAAAGATAAAATCCTGTAATTGAGTTTCTTTCTGTATAATTAGCAGTTTATTAAAATTCCAGATATTAGAATGGTAAAAGTTTTACCCTCTATAGTTGTTACAGGAAGACCTCCACTGCCAATCAGGATAGAATAACTAGCATTAAATTGGTCCCTCAAGCAAAACTACATAAATTGGATAAAATAAAACAACTGGTTTTAAACACTGGGTAACAGGGAGCAGAAAGATGGGTAAAGTACAAAACAGGGGCACCATTTACCCTGGCTTTTGGCTTAAAATACTTTCATGACTACGGGAGATAAAGACTAAATGAGGTGGAAACAACCTAAGTGCTCATCCACAAACGAATGGATAAGAGAAGCTGTGGTATATTCACACAATGGAATACTATGCTGCATTGTAAGACAAGGAACTCATGCAATATTATTCAAAATGGGTGACTCTGGAGGACATCATGCTCGTTGAAGCATCTCAGTCACAAAAGGACAAATACTGCATGGTGCCACTGCTGTAAAACAGGACTGACCTCGGGGTTGGGGAGAGACTGAGAAAGATGGGTTCAATAATGTATACCACACTGAACAGATGAGGAAGAAAACTGTTTAAAAGGGATATGTGATTAGGTATTTTTGTCATGACAGGAGTCTAGAGGGAAGGCTACATGGTGGAGTGGACCTGGGGGGGAGGGATCGTAAAACAATGAAAGAATTTTTCTTTTACTTTTCCAAGAGGATAGTGTACTAGAGGGGAGGGTTGGGAGGGGAGAAAAATGCAACAATGAATGAATGGAAATCCAAAGTCTCAGTAAATTTTTACTGAAATTAATAATAAATTTAAATAAAACAAAACAACAACAAAAGACTAAATGAAAAATGATGGTTTCCTTGAACTGCACCCTCAATGTTTAGAGTTGGGACAATTGCTGGAATTGGTTGGAAATGTGAGCAAAAAGACAAGAAAAGAGCGGGATATGCTAGGTGGAAGGGGAGAAGCATTTGCCTAGGAAGTTTCTGAGGTCCTTGGCCAAAGCTAGAATGCACCTAGGTAAGATGGGAAGTCAAGGACTGAAAGAGGCTGGTTTGGGGCCGAGCTAAGTAGAGATACCAGAGGTCACAGAGCAGACATCATAGTTTCAGCATAGGAGCTAGTGTCACGTCATCCGGCAGAAGTTCCAGAAAAACCAACTTTTAGGAATAAGGACCACACCCTTAAGTAGGAGTCATAACTTGAAACTAAACAGTAAGTCAACTGAGCAGCTGGTGGATTAACAAC